GCAACTGACTACGACATGAGGAAAAAGCCTCTAAAAGGCACAAAAAACCTCCTACTGTTGCAGGACCATCCTGCGACCTGATGGACAGGACAGTGGGGATGTTCTCGACAGAACCGGGTGTTCTGACTGCACGGATGGCCTGGTACGAGACTCAGGCTATGCGATGAAACCAATCACCGATTGACCCCAACAAAACGAGCCAGGGATGGTGGCGTTGGGAAGGTTTGGTGTCGCTCCCGTCGACTGGATGTAGCATCACAGGCGCCCGGACAACGAGGTAGGGCAGTAGTAACAGTTCTACGGTACTTTTATCCGTACACATGTCAAAGATCTTCATTGACATTGAAGTCGACCTCCAAAGGTTGTAGGCGACCTCGCAACAAGTCGTCTGGATTGCTAGCGACTCCACCCACGTGTCGCCTTAACTTTCAATGTTCATGTAGCCGACCTAGGTAGCATAACCCTGCCAAGTCATTCTTCATTTTATCTATTTCCTTCCTCTGCGTGGGCCCGGTTACACCTGGTAGCACTACAAGTTCGTCCAAGGACCATGACAGCTTCCCACCAAGCGATATACGACCGCATGGTCGATATCCTCGGCGAAGGCGACACCCAGTCGTTCTTGTCTCCCCTCTCCGTCGATGCTCGAGTGCGACTGTTTGAAGGCATCGGCATCACCCTCAACGCAACGACACAACCCCTCGAAGCTCGCATCAGCCAGCTGACCGAGGAAGGTCGAGCCCTCGAAGAATCGCTCCACCAGAGCGAGGGCCAAGCCGCAACAATGCGCGAACATAGTGTCGCCCTGCAAGCCGAGGTCGCACAACTTCGCGACCGAAGTCGACACTGGAACCCTCTGTGTCCCAGCTGCGCTTGTCTCTTCAGGATGTACATGTACAGACTGTTCGAGTGTACCAAGAGGCTGGGACTGCAAGCAGCTAGCCCCAACAATCCCTCCATACGGGTGTCAAGTCAGTGATGCTTGATTCACCAAGTTCGACTCTGACACCAGCAAGCTCCTCAGGTGGATCCTGCAAGTCGAGACCTCGGCCGATGTGCTGTGCATCACCCGCGAGTCTACACGTGTAACGTTCGCCCTTTCCCATCTCAACGGTCAGGCGGAAGAGTGGGCGTACCCCATCCGCCTGACCAACTCCATGTCATTTGCAACGTTTGACGAGCTCGTTGCGGCGACGAAGCTCCGCTTCCTCCCCCAGCACAGCAATTTCCAATAACGTTATTACTCTAAGTTCCTTGTATGCAAGACTACATTCACGACCTTCGCTTTTTGGCAACGAGTGTTAACGACGACTCCTCGCTACCGGAAGCGCTCCGCGTCAACGTCTTTATGGCCGGGCTCAACCACGGTCTGGCACGTACACAGCTGTTCCGTGTCTGTCCAGTCTCGTTCGAAGAGGCTGTTCGCACCGCCCAAGCCTCAGCCCTAGCGCCAAATCGTGCCGACCCATCGGGAATGGATATCTCGGCATTATCTCATACCAACGACGGCAAGTGCAGTAACTGCAGCCGCAAGGGTCACGTTTGGCGTGAATACCGCGCCCCTCGACGCACATTTACACCCTCTGTACAAAACGCGCGATCCGACTCAACGGATCGCCGCCCAAGCAATCGGGAGCCCTCTTGTGGTGGGCGTCCCCCAAGACGATTCACTGGGCGACTAGGTCGATCTGATCACCAGATGGCGGGAAACGTCAAGACCTAGTAGGCGTGAGGCGCCCTACTGGGGCACCAATATGTCATCCCAAGGTGTGTGGTGTAGTATCACACTCGAGTGACCTAGCCTCAAACACCGACTTCCATCTGTGCCGCGTCGGGCTACGCCCCAACAAAATGGTTACTTTGTCTCTTGCCGTGGCGGGTTTACCCACTCGACTCAATGTATTGATCGGTTGCGAAGCGTCAGCGAACTGCGCTAACCGCTCCACTCCTGCTTGTTTTGGTTCTCTCCCCGTGTCAGATTCCCCTGACTTGGTTCGCGTAAAGTAAGCCGATGGCCGCATCTCCGCCCAGCAGCGCCTAATGGTTACGCTGCCTGTTACCTTCGACGATTTCCACTCACTCGAAACGTTCATTATGATCGATTTGGATGAGCGGTGGGACCTCATCCTTGGAATGACTTGGCTCGAATCCAATCAACAGTGGATCGATTGGAAACTCAAAACCATCAACAAGGTCGTTTGGCTCAAAACTGATCAGCTGTGATCCGACGACGCGCCGCGGATAAGGCTTCACAGCCTTCGGCGTTATCCGTGACCCCTGACCTCATGGCGATGAGTAATAAACTCGCCGCTGATGCCGCACCAGTGTGCTTGTTGGCCCCAGCACACTTGCCCTTGCAGTCCACGTCGCCAACCTCACCCCGTGAGGTTGCACCCACGTCTGCTAGCTCTCCAGCAGACGCCGCCGTCGTATCTAGAACTACCATCGACCCTCCACTTTCCCATACTAATCTCACCCTTCCAACGCCCCTTCAATCGCGTTGGGCTCAAATTCACCAGTCGCGCCGCCTTGTCACAGCGCCACCTACCTCAACTCCGCAAGATCTTAATGTGGATGCGTTCATTCAGCACGTTTGCAACCTCGACGAGTTGCCCCAATCCTCGTCGGACATCCTGGCATTGCCAGAGATGAGCTATCGCTCTTTTCTGAAATCCCTCCGTTCGCACGGCATCGCGTGCATAGCGATGATCACGTGCGATGAAGACCTCGACCTTTTGTCCTCATCCACTGCAGACGAATCTATCCTGCCCAACCCAGCGGAGCCCCAGACGTGGGCTTCCCTCCGCTCGAACCCGTTCTTTGACCTCCTTGAGGAATTCAAGGACGTATTCCCCGACGACGTTCCCTGCCGGCTACCCGTCGACAAGGGCATACGCCACGAAATTGACCTCTTGTCCGGCACGAAGTATTGCGTTACTCGCCAATGGCCGCTTCCACGTGATAAGTTGAAGCGATGGAGGCCTTCTTGCGGCTCGTAAAGCCGCCGGCTGTGTCCGCGAATGCACGTCCCCACACAGCAGCCCGACGTTCTGTGAGAAGAAACCTAAGGGCAAATGGCGGATCGTCCACGCCTTTAACAAGCTCAACGCCGCCACCATTCCGGCGCAAACACCGATCCCCCGCAAGGATGTGATTATCGACGGCATGGGTCGATCCACCATATTCTCGAACATCAACCTGCGCGATGGATTTTATCAAATTCTCATGCGCCTTTGTGACGTGCCGAAGACCGCCGTCTCGACATCAAGCGGAATGCTTTGGGAATGGCTCGTGATGCCCTAAGGCCTATCCAATGCCCCTGCGACGTTCAATCGCATGGTGACGGCCAAGTTCCGCCCTCTTCGCGACTTTGCCTCGTCCAATTTGGATGACATCTACATCCACAGTCGCGGCTCTGAAACCGAGACCGACGTCGAAGTTCACCGTCGGCATCTTCGTGCGGTTCTTACCGTCCTTCGTGAGAATGGCTTGTACACTAACCTTTCCCAATGTCTGTGTGGGGTCGACGAAATCCCTTTACTTGGCGACCTCGTCGGTATTCGTGGTTGTCGGGCAGATCCCGACAAAGTCAAGACCATCGTCGACTGGCCAGCCCCCTCTTCGGTCACTGACCTCCGCCAGTGGCTTGGCTTGGCTACCTATCTTCACAAATACTCTCGTGGTTTCGCCGAGATCGCGCAAGTCCTCTTTCGGTTACTAGCCAAGGATGCCCCATGGGTTTGGTCGAGCGACTTTCAGTCCGCCTTCGACGCTCTCAAATCTAGCATCAAGAGCTATTTTGGCGCTTCCTGACTTTTCCAAGCCGTTCAGCGTAGTGTGACGACTCCCAATATGCCATCGGTTGTTGCTTAATGCACTCTGACGCTGATAGTCGCTGTCGCCCTGTATCCTTTCGAAGTCGCCATCTCCACGCCGCCGAGCCCTCGAACCCAATCATACGATCTTGAGCTCCTCTGGATCAAGTACGCCCTCACCAAGTTCCGCGTCTACCTCATACGCGTGGACCCCTTCGTCGTGTACACCGACCACTCTTCGTTGCGAACCGTCGTCAACACGCCCCACATGTCAGCCCGCATTGCTCGCTAGCTTTCCTTCCGCTGGCTTTCCTTCTCCGCCGAATACAAATTCTCGGTTCAGAACACACCGGGCAAAGACAGCGTTTTGGCTGACGCGCGCTCTCGACGTCTAGATTACTCCTTGCCTTTTGACCTTGTCTCGATCGGATTCCTCCACTCTGGTCTCAATGACCGCATCCGAGCTGCCTATTCCCTCGACGCGACATGCTCGGCTGTGTTCAGTGCCCTCACCGCCCCCGAGACTCTCAAGCCTCGGCGTTTACCGTCCTTACTCCATCGTTATTCGGTTCGCGATGGTCTGCTCTACTTCCAGCCCACCCAGGACACACCTCCACGCATTGTAGTCCGTGGGGATTCTGCGATTCGTGCCTCTCTTCTGCGCGCGTACCATGATTCCCCCAGTGGCGGCCATTTCGGCCGCGACAAAATGTTTTCTGGGTTGTCCCGTTCGTATTGGTGGACTCGCCAATACAAAGCTGTCGCCCGCTACGACGCTCGTTGCGACGCTTGTCAACGCACCAAGATCGCGTCTTCCTCTCAGGCGCCACTATAGCCTTTACAGATTTCCGAGGAGCTCTGGCCATAGGTCAGCAGGGACTTTATGTATGTTCTCCCGCGTGACGCTCGTGGTTACACAGGTATCATGGTTTGCGTCGACAGGGCGTCCAAGTACATAGTGGCCGCCTCTGTCAAGGAATCCATCAGCAGTATTGACGCAGCTCGCCTTTTTTCGATCATGTCTGCTGTCGCTCTGGACTTCCGCGGTCCATAGTATCTGACCGTGATCCCCGCTTCACCTCCCACTTATGGTCGGCTCTGTTCGAGCTCTGTGGCGCCGACCTGGCCATGTCCACAACCGACCTCGCCGAGTCGGTTGGTCAGACCGAGCGTGCCAACCGCGCGCTTGAAGATATATTGCGCGGGTACTCTGTAGAACAACCTTCTGCCCCGTGGGCCGCGCTCCCTCCCCACGCCGTCTTTGCGTACAACACGTCCGTCCAGGCTTCTACGGGCGTTTCACCTCACTATGTTGTTCATTTACAACACCGTCGCATCTCGCAACTCCACGACAGTCCCGTTTCAGGGGGGAGTCGCTTTCTGATATTTCACCGGCGATCGAAGCCATCGCTGAAACTCGAAAAATTTCCAGCGCGCTCCGTCCAGGACTTGACGGACTTCCTTGCCAATCGTCATCCGTGTTGCAACAGATCAAGGACGACGTCGCGCTCGCTCAGCATCGAAAGGCGACGCAGTCCGACCTTCGTGGTCGTTCCAATTTGGCGACTTTTTCTGTCGGCGATCTTCCTCCTCGACAAGTCAGCCCTCCCCGATCACGCCGCCTTTCGTGCGCGATAAGCTCGGCGAGTAAGCGTCCGTAACTCGATCAACGGGTCACGGCAAAACTAGCCAAGACCCGGCCAAGGCCCCCACACGCATCGACCATCCAACACGCCGATTCTTTTGCCGCCCCGCGTTTGGTCGCAGCAACGAGTACATGAACACAGTAATGTACTCCACCAACGTCTCGCCTTCACACAGTTCGACGTGCCCCACGTCGAGCACACAACTTGGATCGCCTTTGCATGCGGTCCTTGTAGCGCGCGAACCCTCGTCCATCAGCGACCACAATCGTCATCGTGGCCATGGCGTCCAGCATCCACAAGACGTGGCGCTCGAAGTCATCATGGGTTCGCCCGAACTCTGCCAAATACGCGTTGGCGTTGAACACCCAATTCAATGTCGTCGACGACATCGGCGTCGCTCGTGGAGTCGCACATGCAATCGAACGTTGCCTCGCCAACGCCGCCCATACCGAACGCTTCGCTCGAGTCGTCTACACATTGAACTTCATCAATCCGAGCTCGTGCGAAGTCGAGATCCTGCAGCGTCCAAAGATGTTCCCGCGGCACCATCGTCCAGGCTCTTCAAACTTTCACGTCGTCGCCACAGCACCGGACAATTCCGCACTTTGCGTCCATGCTGCTGCTTCAACTTTGCGGAATCGACGCTTCTCTTCTTGAGCAGCCTGCTCCGCCTGTTTAGCTTCCGCGCCGCTTCTTCTTCGCGGCGTTCACGCAACAATTGCTCAACAGCCTCCAACGACCTCAACGTTTGGAGAGCACCTTCCAACATCCCTTGAGCTACAATACGCTCGAGTTCTGCTTGACCTTCGGGTCGCTTCATCCGACTCGAGGCCGCTAGCACTGCCTTGAACGGCTCAGGCGTTTCCGCCTCTTCGCCAGTCAAGTCGACGAGAAGCACTTCGTCTTCTTCACCACCGGAGGCGATCTCGTCCGCCTTGCGCTTGCTTGTACCCCCGACTTTCCGACAATGTTGATGGCCGAACCCATCAAGTCACGCGCGTCCATCACAACATCTCCACGATACGACTCCCGTTGGTTTCGTATTGAGTGGGGGAGGGTGTAACAGTTCGACGGTATTGTTATTCGTACACTTGTCAAAGACCTTCATTGACATTGAAGATTACCATCCAAGGTTGCAGGCGACCTCATTACAAGTCGCCTGGGTTGCTAGCGACCCCCCCACGAGTCGCCTTAACTCTCCATGTTCATGTAGCAGAGCTAGTTTGCATAACCCTGCCAATGGATTCTTCATTTTACCTACTCCTTCCTCTGCGTGTGCCCTGCTACAGCAGTGCAAACGCCACTTAAACCCCCTCCAAGAGGTGACTTTGCAGCATTTGGCTTATAAAAACCATGAGATTGTACCAACTACAAGGCGCAGATGAGCTAATTGGTTTGTTCGAGCAGGCTCACACCATGACTATGGGCTCAAACAGGTGGATGTCGCCTTGTCCATGTGATGGAAGGAGTGCTCAGGATTTCATCCAATAGGAACACTCCTGTCATGTCACTCGATAAAACCACCGAGGCACAGTACGACGTTTCGATGAAGAGAACATGAATTGGAATAAAAACTATCCAATTTGGTCAGGTAACGATGTAGATAGACAATTCATGTCATCAAGTCTTTCCTTTGCGCGTGTCTGACCACAACAACGATTACAGTAAACCCCGGAAAAAGCCGACCCCCCCCATCATGTCCTCCTGAGGGTTCCTCATCTTCGTCGTCACCCAGGGCATCGTATCCTCCTGGGGCTCTTCCATCGTCCGCGCTCAGGGCATCAATTCCTCCTGAGGTTCTTCCTTCATCAACGCTCAGGGCTTCAATTCCTCCTGAGGTACTTCCTACATTTAAAAACGCCACCACCTCTTCAGGCGTGGGTTGTTCGGTTCCATCGACCACCAGGGCGGCCCCTCCAGTTCCGGTTAAAGAGGTATCCTTGTAGTCGAGAGCTCTTCCAGCAGGCGGGTATCCCTGCAGTACCCCAACATCACGACCAGATGTCGTCTTGTCTCTTGGCGACATCGTCGGAGCCGCTGACGCTTCAGTACATCCCCCGTTTTCGTTTGTTTCCAGGTCGTCCGGGGCGACTAAGTCATCCCGGATTCCCTCATTAACTCCCTTGCTTCCTTCTATCTTCGCTCTCGACTCAGGCCGAGGCTTGTCCTTCACTTGCAGTCCTTTTCTTCTCATTCCATCGAAAGTTATTTCTCCAGAATCGATCGGTATCGCGCCACTTTCGGCGGCTCGCACCCGACCTCCGACCCTTCATTGGGATCCTTCCACGCTGGAGGCTCGGCTACGCCGCAGAGGGCACTCCCGTTCGAAGTGTCCGAGTTGGTTACACGCGTAACAGTTGAAGTTTCCTGGAGCCGATCCCGGTCCCCCATCGCGCCCACTTGCGTTCGAGCCGCGGAAACCATTCATGGAGGGCTGTCGAGGCAGGCTACACTCCACCAAGTGGT